GCTGCGTGACTCCCAAGACTGTGCACTTTGCACCCATGAGGGGTTCGAGGAGTGAGGGCACAGATGAGCATTCTAGAGAGTTCCTGGCCTGACCCAGGACGGTCAGCTAGTGACATTTGAGGACAGAATGGTGGATTATGCTTCCTGTAGATCTGCTGAGGGGCTGGCAGCTCCCTGGGGTTTAAGGCTGGGGCACAGAAATTGCAAGTCCCTCTTTCTTACCCTGGCACGTAGGCAAGGGCTGAGCCTTGGCCTTGCTGCTGCCTCCTGCTGGCCCTGGGGATGGGTGGTGGATAAGCTGGGGGAGGAGTTTCGTTCTTTAAAAGATTACTTTTGTTGGCTTCATGTTTTTCTCCTTATAATAACGACAAAAGTTTGTTACCTTAAAAAAATGAGAAAATAGGGACAAGAGAGAAAAAAAGAGAAAGAGAGAGGGGGAGACTATAGGGAAAAGAAAAAGGGAACTTCTACCCATTTTAAGGTGATTATTAACCTGATCGGGTGGATACCTTCCCAGGTCTCCTTCCTTCTCCTGTTCTCTCTGTCCCCCTTCCTGTTTTGTTTGCTTCTTTCTCACTGGCCCTCTTGATCTCCTTCCCCTCTTTTCTCTCTGTGTATTTTGCTCCATGCATGTGAACAGGCAGAACATATATTTGCACACATAGGGTATGTGACATCAGGTTTCATCATGTGCTCCCCACCGACTTCCCTTCCAGCCCATGGCATCTTTCAGGGGGACCTGCGGGCTCGAGCTCATCCCTTTTATCAGTAGCTCATTGTCCCACAATCGCCACGGACCACTGTTTACTTACTGAGTGTTACGTTCAGGAGCATGTGAGTTATTCCCCCACGTCACTGGTAGGAAGCTCCCTGAGATGGGCATTCTGGCACATCCATCTGTGCATTTTATTTTTCAAAATAAAATTCCCCTATGGTGAGTGCTGTGAAGTGTGTAAGCCTGACGATTCACAGACCTGTGCCCCTGGGGCTAATAATACATTATATGTTAATGAAAATTAAAAAAAAAAATTCCCAGGAGAGGAGTTCTAGGTCAGAAGAGATGCACATTAGACATTTTTATGCACACACTCGAAATCATCCCTAAGATCTCATCCCGACCTCCTGGGTGAGAAGGGGCGCGGGTGCGAGCAGCAAGCAGCACGGTGGCTCTAGCCTGGATGGTGGAGAAGACAGATTATTCTTGCTTTCTTCCACATTCCTTTAATCATTAGAGAGACTAGGTATCTTTTCATATGGATATTGGCCATTTGCATTGGTTCTTTGATGAAAATAGATTTTCTACTGGGAAAACTTTTATCTTCACTTGTCAGAGATCTTCCTATAGGAGGGGTGTTCCCTTTGTGACATGTGTGCTGTCCTCATCCCCCCCACCCCGGGTCTTCTTCGCTCTTCTTGGCTGCTGGGGCTTGCAGACGCATCTCATTGGTAGGCAGTCGACTTTGTAAGCTGTTCTATAGTCTCTGTGCCCGCCGTCCTGCAAAGCAGGGGCTCTGTCTGAGCTCTGTTCTGGGAACTCGGGCTGCACCGTAGAGCAGGAGGGGAGATGGCACGGCCCTTCAGGGACCTCAGTGTGACTTTCGGTCTTGTCCTTCTCCCTGCTGGTCCTTAAAGACCTAGTTCCGGTGTTGTGGACTCCAGCGAGCCTGCCTGACCCCCTCCCCTGTGTTAGTGCCCCCTCTGTGCCCAGCAGAGCACATGCCCCAGGGAGCTGGGCTAAGGTGTTTCCTTATCCGTCTCTCTGCCAGCCTAGGAGCCCTTTTCGGGTGGGCCCATGTACTGCTCACTCCTAAATCTCCGAATGCCCATGGTGCTGGCCACATACTAGCTGCTCAATAGACATTACTTACCTCTAGGGTCACCTTTTAAGTTTCGGAGCTCGGGAGCATGATATGGGGGGCGGGAAACGAACTGAAGGTGGTCCTTTCATTCTTGGCTCTCGTCTTCCCTCTTCCACGCAGGCTTCCCGGGCTGTCTAACACACAGCAAGCCCTCTCATGAGACCCTCCATGGGTCTTGGAGGCCATGTGGTCAATGGAGAGCCAGACTCTAGGGGGGATGGTAATAAACGCAATGCCCAGTGAGAGCGCTACGCACAGGCTTGAATGCTTGCTGGATAAGCCATCCTCCTTCATCCTCTCTCCAGCTCTCGTTTCTTCTCAGAGGAAGAGAACCAAAAGAGGGGTAGGAAGCCACCAGTGTAAGCTGACCAGATGTCCTCCTCTTGACCTGGGCCTCTTGTGTGTCCTTTCCCTGAGCTCCTGGCTGGCCACCCAGAGCTCCCCACACTCCAGAGCTGGCCGGTCTCTGCGTTGTCACAGCCCTACAGACATTCTGTTCACTGCTGTCCCTGCTAAAGAGCTGAACAGGAGGTTTGGGAGCTGTGGCCTCCATTCTAAGCCACCACCACCCCCTCAGCCAGGCCCGGCTGGGTCTCCGGGCCCCTTCCCACCCAGTGCCTACTGGGGAAGGGATGTGGCCTGCGGTGCAGGGGAGCCATGATCAATACGGAGTGCGGATTGCAGGGTCCGCTGAGGCACACTTGGTGGCAGTGGGGTCTAGTGTGACAAAAAATCCTGGTCCGGGCTTGAAGACCTGCAAGTCCTCCCTGCCTCTGTCCTGTCTCCCTGGTGACACGTGTGAAGTCCTTTCTTGCCTCAGCCTCACGTGTCCTGTCTGTGCGACAAGGGCTCGGCCTGTTGGGAGTTTTCTGTGGCTTTTACCAGCTGACACTGTGTCACATCCTTCTACCTCCCTCAGCCACCTCTGCCGCCTCTGCCACCAGAAGTCGATTGGGCAGGAAAGGGTCTGCAGGGTTTCCAGGGAGGCCTGCCTTTCTCTGCACAGCTGTCCTGAGTTTGCTCTCGGGGCTCCCAGCACGTGGCACAGTGGGGAGAGCTTCAGCCTCAGCAGAGTCCCTGGGCCTTGGACTCTGGCTGCGTGTCCTGGGTCAAGTTAGAGAACCTCTTTGGGACTCAGTTTTCTCCCCTTTAACATGGAGATAATACAGTGGCTCCGGTTCATTCTGAGGATTAAATGCAATAAAGCAGGCCGAGTCCTGACACAGGGTAAACTGCCATGAGTGTTACTATGATTGTCCTTGTTGCTGTTGTGACTGTTGCAGCTCCCATAACCTCTGCTGCTCCCATCCAACCTCAGATGCTCCAGGGAAAGGGCACCCCTGCCCGAGTCTGAGTGGGACTCAGGGAGCTTGTGCAGGGGGCCTCGGGCTTGAGTCCTCCTCATGCACACCCCAGGAGACCAGTGTGCAGCCACCATGCACAATCCTCTGGTGTGCACCGTGCCCCAGCCTGGGGATTCACAATGCACACACCGGGGGCTGCTGTGGGCATTGAAGAGCTCCCACCCGCCAAGCAGGTGGCCTGGTGCCGGCCCACAGCCCTCAGAGAATCGTTGTTGTTGCCACCGGGCATAGCCATGTCCCAGGTACCTCAGCCAGACGCCCTGGGCATGGACTGGCCATGGACTCCAGGCAAGGGGTTGTACCCCCCCAATCCTCAGTTTTCTCCTCTGTATAAGGGGACCAGTGCCACCCCTTCCCTGGGTCGTTAGAGGGATTACATCCTCAGTACAGCTATGAGGCTGGCCTGAGCTACAAGGACCGGGATGTGCCCAGTCCCTGCCCTGAGCAGTATAGACAGGTTCCTTTACGCACCTACCCCATCCCTGCATGTGTCCCTTTTGTCACTGGGGACCTTTGCCCTGTCTCTGCGCCAGTGGGGAGGACAATAAAAGCCTTGCTGCCCATTCTCTCTCTGCCTCCTGTCCCAAAAGCCTTTGGCTCCAGGATGCATTAGGCTCCATGTTTCATTGCCCAGCAGCTAGAAGATGGGAAAACTCATAAGGAAGGGATGCACATGGTGCTTTTGAAAATTTTTTAATTCAAAAGAAAATAAGAAAACAAGAACACTTCTCAGGGTGTGTCGTGATGACACATCACAGGCATGTAAAGTACATATAAAAATAAGAGAGTCTCAGGGGCACAGGCGGGGGGCCCCGTGCAGGGGGCCACAGCCCCCTTCTTTGAGGCCTTGTTTTCTCTGACATGCACCTCTCCCGGGCCATAAAAAAGGAAGTGCTCATGCACCCTTGTTTCTCTTGGAAGACCCAGCCACTTCTGGCTCACTGGTCCATGACACGCACGCAGGAAGCTGGACTTTACACGATCTTGCAGGTGGACAGGGCTGGAGTGGGGGCAGGCGGCCCACCGTTCCTCCCCCTGCCCCGCTCATGGGCTCTGGGGCAGGGGAAGCAGTGTCCCTCCTGGGAGGAGAGGGGGCACACACCGTCCTTCAGGGGCTTGGGCTTCCCTCCTTGAGTGGCAGCAAAGGGTGTGTCTACAGGTAAGCTGGGAGCCGCGGAATAAGGACTTAGACCAGGATGAGATGAGCCCGGGGCTGGGGCTGAATTCTGATGGGCAGCCAGACGGTAGAGGGTGCTCTTGCCATAAGCCGCTTTCACAGGGCCCTTCCCTAGCTGCTCCACCACTCGCTCCATCCCTGCCTCTGCGGCCCAGACTTCGGGGCCCATAGAGACCTGGACTCCAGCCACGGCTCTGCCACTTACTAGTGTGTGAGATCCTGGGAAAGGTACTTAACTTCCTGGAGGCTCTGTTTCCTCATCTGCTCAACGAAGAGGTTCACTGGACCCTCACAGGGTGCCTGTAAATATGAGTGTGATTACGCCTTTAGAGAGCCTAAGACGGCACCTGGCGCATAGACTCCACAGATGGTCCCGTGATTACTGTTACCAGGCTCCAGAGTTGGCGGGTGTGCGTGCGTGTGTGTGTGTGTGTGTGTGTATGTATGTGAGATAAACAGAAGGTCCACACCGTGTTCTAGAAAAAGGCCGAATTCCTGAGATTTCTGTGTCTGTCTGGGCAGGTCAGAGGTCATGGACCGCAATGACACTGGCACGGGAGGTCTCGACTGCTTTTCTTCTCCGTGTGTCCAGCAGGTTCAGGGCTGCTCTGTTCTAGACCTCGGTGCCCTCCCTGGGATAGAGGACGCTGTTCGTGTTGATGCTGTTGTAGAAATGGGGGCTGAACTGGTTGAGGACAGAGCCTCCGTAGCCGAGAGCGTTGGTGGGCATGGGGTTGACCCACTCACCCCCGCCCCCGTGGCTGCTGAGGTTGGTGAGTGGGGTGTACGAGCTGAAGTTCAGCAAGTTCTGCCCCATCTTGTCCGTGGGCTCAGGGCTCAGTCCCGGTGTTGCCGCAGGGCGGCTCACCGGGCTCGACCCGCTCCCGTAGGCGGTCATGGTGGAGAGGAAGCTGTTGAGGCAGGGGGTGCCTGGCGGGTGAGGGGAGGGCGGCTTCTCTGGGGAGCCGGTGGTCCCCGGTGAAGCACTGTCCAGGATGTCTTGGGCCTCTGCCGTCTTGGGGCTGCCCACCAGGAGGCTGTTCTCCGTCTTCTCGGAGGCCAGGGATCCCGTGCTGGAGGAAACATCCGATTTTCTCTTTCTCTTCCTGCGGAAATTTCCATTATCAAACATCTTCTCACAGTTGGGGTCCAGGGTCCAGTAATTCCCTTTGCCTGGTACAAAAGGGGAAGGAGTAAGCAGAGCGGTGGACAAAATGCTTTGCTCCTGTTTTTTTTTTTTTTTTTTTTTTTTATTGCTGTCAACTAAAGACCAAGCAAACCGTGTGGAAGACAGAAGAGAAGGTAGGGGCGGAGAGACAGAGGACTCGCCACGGGTCAGCATCTTTCTTCCACCCCCGCCTCACAAATGGGCACTCTGGGGACACAGAGATGTCAGCCAGGAGAGCACTCGCAGTGCGGCCTTCTAGAAGAAGTTTGGGTACTGGGGGAACGGAGAGGGAGGGCCTTCCTCCATGGCTGACATGAAAGAAAACTCGGGAAACACTTTAGAGTTTCCTGAACGTTTTGGTCAGGGAGTCTGAGGATGCCTTGAGTCCTGGCTTTGCTCCTAACTGGCTGAGGGACTCTGGGCAAGCCTCAGTTTCCTAGTCTGAAAAGTCGGCCTGTTATACCCCTCCCTTCTTCCTCAGGCTGATGCTGGATGTGTGGTGGGCCTTGTCACCATGAGGTGCCTTCTGGAGGGAGGGCCTGAGCTGGGCCTGTGGGTGAGGCCAGTCATGGAACTGGACACTCGCCCTCCCTGGGGGGCCCCTATCCCTGTGCCTGCTAGCCTCCTAGCAGCCGGAAGTGGGGCTCTGAGCCATGCCCTGGCTTCCCATGGGGGCACAAGAACAGACTTTAATTCTGGGAAATGCATATCTGAATATTTAATATATTACTTCTGAATGTCTCTGCATTGTAGAAATTCATCATTAAAAAGGAAGAGTTGGTAGTCTTTGGTGTTAGAGAGACCTCCATTCAGATTCGGGCTCCAGGGCTTTCCCTCCACTCTGTGTGACCTTGGGCAGGCTGTTTCCCCGCTGAGTGTCACTCCCCTCATCTGGACAATGGGTTCCGTGAGAGCCGCCCAGCAGGGGTGGGTTAAAGGAGAGTATGAGACTGAGCAGGCAGCACAATGTGGCTCTTCCTGCGTGTTTGACCAAGTCAGATCTCTCCCCAGGGGTCTGAGTGCACTTGGGCTTTGCCACTTCCAAATCCTCCTGGGGACTTCCTATGAGCTCGGTGCCCGGGACTCAGAGTGATCACAACAATTACTGTGGACTCTTGGGTGTTTGCAGGCAACCAAACCCTTGCATGCATTCTCTCATGACCCCCATCACAGGCCTGCAAAGGAGCCACGGTTACCATCCCTGTTTTTCAGGTGGGGAAACTGAGGCTCAGAGCTCTAAAATGCCTGGAGTGGCTAACCACTCAGCGGTGCAACCAGAATCAAAACCCTGCCTCCGGGGCTCTCCCAGGCTCCTTTACTGCTGACAACCCTCAGCCCGCTGTCTCAGGGGACACAGCCAGGTAAGAACTTTCTAGAATGGGGTGCTGGGGAGGAATGACAGGAGACTTCCTTGGGGGCATCAGAGGCTGGCTCCCCCGGCCCCACACTGCCCCAGCAACCCCCTTACCCGGGTCGTCCTCATCGCGGGGCACCTTCTTGAAGCAGTCATTGAGAGACAGGTTGTGGCGGATGGAGTTCTGCCAGCCGGCCTTGCTCTTGTTGTAGAAGGGGAAGTTGTCGGCCACGTACTGGTAGATCTGGCTGAGGGTGAGGCGCTTGTCAGGCGCCCCATGGATGGCCATGGCAATGAGAGCTGAGTAGGAATAGGGGGGCCGCACCAGCTTCATCAGCTCCTCCTGCGAGGGGATGGGCAGCCAGCCCAGGTCGCCGCCCGCCAGCCCAGACATACCAGGTAGCAGCTGCCTCTGCACACCGTAGGCCTGGGGCAGGAAGGGGCTGGCGTTGGTGCCTGGCAGGTAGGGTGGTGGAGTCATGGCCGGCCCATTGAGCCAGAGGTAGGGGTTGGGGGTGGCCCCGTACTCGCCACCCCCCTCAAAGGAGGGGGGGCGCTGAGGGCTGGGCACGCCCTGTGGGTAGAAGAAGTTCTCATGGTAAAGGCTCATCTCGGGGGGCTCCTGGCCGATGCTGGGGAACTGGGGGCTGCAGAGAGCTGGGGAGGGTGCCGGGAGGTCGAAGGAGCTCATGCTGGGGTTGGGCTCGGCCGGAGCCACCTGTCTGGCACCTGCACCAGGGAGCTGTCCCTGACAGGTGCTCGGCTGGCCCAGCCTCCGACTTATACCCCTGCGGGCTTGGCCTGCGGGCCCCACCCAGGGGCGGCCACCTGCTGCGTGCCAGCCCCTCCTCCTACAGCCCTGCCCGACACCGAGACAGGGCCTTGGGCCAGGGCCACTGCGCGTGCTCAGACTGGAGCTGTGGCTGGTGTCCCCAGTGCCTAGGGCGCCCCTCTTCCCTCTCTCTCTCCCCAGTTCCTGTTTCCCCCCTTTCTCTCCTGCCTTTCTCCTCACTTGGTTCCCCTTGTTTTCCTTTCATTGTGTCTCTCTTCCACTTCTCTCCTCACCTTTCTCTCCCCTTCTCCGTCAACCTTCCCTCACTCTGGCCAGCCCCTCTGCATCTCAGTCTCTTTCCTGCCTTCTCGCTATCACATTTTCTTTCCCTGTTCTTCCTACCCCCTTCCCTGTTTCTTTTCTAAGCACTGCTCTGGCCACCTCTCTGTCCCTCCCTCCCTCCCTCCTCTCTCTCTTCCTCTGAGTTTGTTTCCGTCTCTTTCTACTTCTCTGTTTCTTCATGATCACCTCCTGTCTGTCTCTGCTTCTCTCCCACTCCCTTTCACTCCTGTCTCTCATTTCCTCTGTATCTCTTTCTCTCTCCCCTGTCCCTTCGTCTCTCTCCCCTGTCCCATCCTGACCCCCCATCCTCAGCCCCCCTCACCCAGACCAGATGTGGACTTTATCAGAAGCCACATCTTTGGGTCTTCTGAAGAGAAGACACACTTTCTGGAGGTTCCAGGAAAGAACCTGGCCGTGGAGAATCAGAAGAGCAGAGAGGAACCTTGCCTACGGCCAGATTTCCAGTTGTTTGGTTATAGGTACCCTCCGCGTACAGACATGCAAAAACACACACACACACACACACACACACACACACACACACACACACACCTTGAAGGCACGCTGATAAGGGCCATGGACAAGGCCTGGGGATTCTCCCGGAGGAGCAGCAGGGAGATAGCAATAGAAGGAAGAGAGTGTGAATGGGCTTCAGGGAAAAGTGAGAAGGAACTTACCTATGCAAGGTTCTTTCTGGCCGCAGGGGTCAGGAGGCCCCCAGGCCCCTCTCTGATCAAAGTCCTTTCATGTTTCAGCTAACAGGGGCCCCACAGAGCTGAGGCCGGAGGAGAGCCCTGGACTCCTCACCTTGCCATTCCCCTCACACCATCTCTGCCTCAGGCTCTAGAAGCGGGAGCGCCAGCTGCCCCTCTGCTCTGAGCTTACAGCCAGCCCCCCCCCCCCCACTCTGGGCTCCATTCTCCAGAAGCTTGGAGATGACTTACTCTTCACCCCGGCAGGCCTGGGCCTAGGGGCAAGGACGGTGGGCAGCTGACCCCGAGCAGGCTTTAGTAGTGGCCTGACTACGTCTCTTCCTCAGATCAGATTGGAAGAAAGCTGCAGCCGGTTTCTGGGGCCACCACCTCCCTCCTACCCTCCTGCCTCTACTCCACTCTCCCCATTCAACTGCCCCTTACTCAAGTGTCCAGACCCCATGGACCCTTGAGGTGGAAGAAGGAGGTCGCTCCCTGTGCCAGCTGGAGGGGCGGCCTGCCAGAGAGCTCCCCCAACCCTCGCCAGGCTGTCTGCTCTCCTCTACAGCTGCATCAGGAGACAGGCCACGGGAAACCCAGGCGCCATGGGATGCGTCTCCTTTGCAGTGTACGGGTGCCCAGAGGATGAGTTTAGGAAACTGGGTGGGAGGGACCCTCCCGGGTCCTGAGAAACCACCTGTCCCCACCAGGGAGCAGTGAATGAAATGATCCCAAAGGGCCCGACTGCCCAGGGGAGGCACAGGGTAAGCACACTATGTACTTTCTTTTCAGAAAACCTTTGTTTAAAGTATCTCTGCCAGGCCTGGCTCGCTGAAGGCTGGGCCATGACTTTTCAAGAGGCAGGTACCTTAGAGACCACCCATGTAGACCCAAGGCCTGGCAATGAACCTGGAGGCTCCACTTCTGATCATTTGTCCTGCAGAATTAAACAGAGCTATGAACTCTCTTCAGGGGTATTCGCCAGAGCATTGTGTAGAACTATAACAAACTGTAACTAACCTGAATGTCCAACAGGAGGGGATCGGTCAAATAAATTGGGTATCATCCCAGTGAAGAAATACTTTGAAGCTATGGAAAAATAGATTGTAGAATATTTAGTAATATGCAAAGATGTTCTGTTCTAATAGCAGTATTTAATGAAATGGACTGTAAAGTGCCATTTTATGGTAAAAATATATATTAATATGTGTATTTATAAATATAAATACCAAACTGGGAATTATTATTGTTGGGTGGAAATCAGAAGTGATTTTCATTGTTGTTTTTCAGTTTCTGATTTAGATAGTAAACTCAAGCACACAGGTGACTTGCTTTGGGAGTCCGGTGTAGAGGCTAGCAAAGGGCTCTCTTGCGGACTCACAGCAGACATAGGCTCTGAGAGCAGAGGGACTTGGGTCTGAAACCCAGCTGAGAAGCTAACTGCAAATCTTAACAAGTGACTTAGTTAACCTCAGCCTGTCTTCTCAAGGGAAAATGGGAACGATCTGATCCCATTTAACCTACGTGGTTGCTGTGAGCAACCCGTGAGCTGATTGGCATAACCATCGTAAATCACTGGTGCCTAGAGTAGCACTCAGTGACTGTGAGTCATTATATACTATAGTCAACATACATTTGAGGTGTACAATTCCTCCTTCAGTTTGCACCCTTGTAGGTTAATTCCTCCCTTTTAGCAGCCTGTGGGCAGGGCCTGGGGGACAGGTGAGGTCACAAAGGAGGAACCGAGGGAGGGATGCTTGGGGTGGACCCCAGCTCCGCAGCCAGCCCCTGCCTTATGCGGCTGATGATGAGCTCCCCTCCCGTCCCCTTTCCTGAAGTCATGCAGCCGACTTCTGGGGCCTCCACCTCCCTCCTACCTTCGTTTCTCCACTTCCTTCTCTCCATTCAACTGCCTCACACTTTCTCCAGACCCCATGGGTCCTTGAGGTGGAAGAAGGCGGGCACTTACTGTGCCAGCTGGAGGAGGCTGGAGGGAATCCCCAGGGAATCCCCCCCAACCACTGTCTGCTCCATGGCTACGGCAGGAGACAGGCACTCAAATCAGGTGACAAGTTCACTCGCACCCAAGCTGGTCAGGAGCCTTTCCCCCAAACTCCTCATCTACCCTTTGTCTATTGCCAGGGTTTCCTTCCTTAGAGGCGGTTTTTAAAGGAAGCTCACTTGAGTCTCCCTGTCGCGCCTGGGCCCTGGCATGTCTTAGGAGGCCTGGCCCCCGTGCAGCCTCTAGCCCCGAGTCTGGTGGTTACAGCTCACAGCCTCTTGTGCCCTCCCACACCCGGTCAGTGTCAGGCCTGCCACTCCTCTGGAGTAGGGTGCGTGCCCAGCGGTCAGCTGTATGCATTACTGGGTCCAGAAGCTCAAGGCAGCTCAAGGCCTGCAGAAAGGGTGAATGTGCACAGGCCCCATAGACCATGGCTGGCCAGGGCCCCCACCTCTGGCCTTGACTTTCAGGGGCTGGAGGAGTGTGGGAAGAAACAGGCTGTCCTTTGGTCTTCCTTTCTTGCACACCAGAGCTGCGTCTCAGAATATTTTGGGGCCTGCCATGGGACCAGCTTCTCTGTCCCAGGTATGGGCTTTTAGGAAGTCTGGTCCAGGTGTCAGCCAGGCTGATCAACCTTGGGGCTCTCTACTCTGCTCTTTGGCTTCTGGTGGCTCTTGAAGCCGGAGAAACAAAGTTAAACACCGCCCTCTGGTGGCCATATATTTAAAAGCAAGGAGCGGAGGGCAGGGATTCATTGACCTTTAAGAGCCTGTGGCCAAGGATTTCTGAGCCCCTTTAAGGGGCAAGGTCCCAAACTGAACAGCAGCTTCAAGGAGGAATTGTGCCCTTGGGCGGGGGGGACCACTTTCATTCCACTGCAGTGGACATAGTGGGAACTGAATTGCCAATGGGGCAAAATGTCTTAGAAGTCAGCCAAGCAGCAGTTGGATGAGATGGAATGAGAGTCCAACAGCTCTGGTCATGTTTTCTGCACGCCTTGCCATTGCCTCATCTCCCAGCCTCTGCTCGCTCGGAAAACGAGGGTAACAGGCTTACCTCCCTCAGAAGGCTGTTGCCAGCACTACCCGAGACAGTACAGGAAAGACCTCTGATACAGTGCTCAGGGGTAATCAATCCTTCACTTGTTCAGCAAAAACTGATCGTCTCCACAGTAGCATTTCTAGGGCATGCAGGACACTGTCACAGCCGCACAGCACTGAGGCTCCCACTCGTGATTTGCCAACTTGGTGCAGTGCCTATAGTCGGATTTACTTAATAATTTTTAAATTGGCTCTCAGGCTCTTTTTTTTTTTTTCCCTCTTTCCTTTCTTTCTTTCTTTTTTTCTTTGTTTCTTTCTACTTAGTGAATTTACTTATTTATTTATTTATTACAGATTTATTTACTTATTTGACAGAGACAGAAAGTGAGCACAAGCAGGGGGAACAGGAGAGGGAGATGCAGACTCCCCACTGAGCAGGGAGCCCGATGCAGAGCTGGGTCCCAGGACCCTGGGATCACGACTTGAGCCGAAAGCAGACGCTTAACCAGTGGAGCCATCCAGTTGCCCTAATGAATTTAGTTTAAAGATAAATTCCATATGACTTCTGGAAATGAATCACTGGTAATCAGTATCACTTGCCACAAATACAGTGAGAAAAAGTAGCCTCTGTTTAGAGCCGACACTGTGCTGGGCACAGCCCGAATTCGTTCCTGTGTTCTCATTCAGTCCCTACTCTAATCATCCCCACTTTACAGATGAGCGACCTGAGGCAGCACAGGCCTGAGCCGGCTCACTCTTTGTGAGAAGGTGAGGTGAGCAAGCATTAGGGAAGGGAGAAAACGCTCTTTGCAGAAGGCAAAAGGATCAGAAGAGAATTGGAAA